CTTATTTAAAGCAGTAATTAGTCAATTAGAAATGTATTCAGGATAAACCTATTAGGACATCACAGATTGGCAAAATAATACCGAAAAGACTTCATCTTCTGCACTGTCTTCTACATATGATAAACTAAATTAGTATTATACTGATTAAATACATTTTACACAGTGGTGGCTGAACCATCATTAAGCATTTCCTGGCTTTGCACAACAGTGAACTGGTTGCATCCAGAAAAAAAAAATCTGAATTGAAAGCCAATCCATAATCCAGAGGATATTCAGCCTACAAAATTTGGGACCTCAGCCAATGATTATTCAGCACAAAAGGCAGATTGCTATTCTTCCTTGAAATTCTAATTTCACACCTTTCGAGAAGGCATATTTTTCTCCATGCTAAAAGTGATCCGAACTAGAAATGTGAAAGTTACGCCATTTTAATCCTTTATTATCTTCTGGAGAAAATTTTCTAACGGTGGGTGAAGCTCCAAGGCTTCTATGTGCCACCCTACCGCCGAAAAGCGAGTTAGGGAACTGGGGCATCCTGCAGCCCTTTTTCCGGTATGTTTCTACGCTACAGCCGTAACAGGCAAAACTGGATACGTGTCATACCATCCTCAGGGGCGTGAACCAGCCCCGCCCCTTCTGATGTGCATCGCGGACGGCTCTCCGTACACGTCACCAGCCATTTCACCTTTTCCGAAGCGGAGGGGAGGAGTCGCTTGCCGCAACGCCCCATGGGGTTTGTAGTTCTCCGGCTACACACAAAAGGCAAGCTCGTCCTCTCCGCCCCCCTTCTCCTCCCACCAGCTTCGGCAATGTGAGACGCCTCGTCTTGCAGCCTCCCCCCCACCCTCCACTCGCCCCACAACCCTGCCGGCCTTCCCGCCCCGAAATCGCAGAGGCGGCCAACCCCCCCCCCCCCCCGCGACACCGAGCTCGCGCTCCGAGTGCCACGTAACCTATCCGAGACCAGGAACTCCCGAGCCGCCGGAATGCAGCGTGCAGGAGCAAACAGCTCCTCTTGCAAAAAACGTGTAACTCTCTCTCCGTTTGCCTCTCTTCCCCCGCCAGTTTCGGGAAGCTAAACATCGCGAGTCGCTGCTGCTGCTGCTGCCCACGCTTGCTTCGAAACCCGTTCAGTCAATTTGATTTCTCAGGAAAGGAGCGTTAAAATACACCCGGGCTTAAAAAGGGGGGCTTTCGGCGTTGCATTTAAGCCCGGTTGCGCCAGGACACTGCAGCTGCCCGAAGAAGCTCCACTGAGACCAGAGACAGACCTGCAATGGGTGGGAGACCCTCTTGGACGAATGGGGAGGTGGGTGGGTGTCTAACGGTCTGACGAACCTACAGGGACAAGCACCCGACCGGCCGTATCCGTGGAGAAGGGAGCACTACTCCCGCCGGCAGGGGGTTAGGTTGCACCTTTGAGTTGCTAGCCGATATTCGCATCACCTCGCTATTGTCATTGCTGAGGCTATATGCAGCCCTACCTGCCCCCCCTTCTTTTCAGGCAAGAACGGGCAATAATACAAGGAACGACCGATATGACCAGATATAACCTGGAGGACAGACAAGCGAAGCTGCCCTTCCACATGGGAGTCACAGAGTAGGACCATATGCTCACACACACGGGTATGTTTAAGGCGTACAGCGGTCCAGGCACTGCATTTACCCCACCCCGCCTACCCACCACACACGGCAACCGAGGCATTCAAGGCTCACGCCCTGCGACTAGGAATCCGTTCTGGCTTTTCCTGGTTTCATTTTTTTCTTTTCCTGGAAATCATTGGGTTTCCCCTCGCCCGTGTCAGTCTGAAACATCTTCCCCGCTATCCTCCGCCCGGCCCTTCCCGTCGGGTATCCGGCAGCCCCACTGAGGTCTTGCAGCGCTTTGCCTTCTGCCGCCTCTCACCTCGAACATGAGCCCCAGCAGGAAGACCATGGCCATGCAGGAGACGATGTCCGCGTGGTTCTGCACGACGAACTCATGGCTGAGCACTGGAGGGTTCTTGTTACTCTTCTTGCGGATCGCCATGGCGAGACCCTCCTCGGCCCCTGCTCGGTGGCCTCTGTCCCTCCGTCCCCTCGTGTGTCCGCCGAGGGGCCCGAAAAGAAGAAAGCTCGGCCAAGCCGCTCCGCCCAACTTCGCCTCCGCCTTTTCGGGCGACTCTCTAGCTCCAGCGTCGGGCAAAAAACCGCCACTCGTCGTTTCCTGCCCCTCAACTCGATCGGAGGGACTTCGCTCTCCTGTGGGTAGTCGCAGGAAAGGTGCGACAGCGCCCTCTTTCGGATAGGCGGACCAAATCCGGAACTCGCAGTTGATTGGCGGTGGCAAAGACTCTACGAGGCAGCGGAGACAGTTTAGGGCGTAAACGGTAGAGAAAGTGGGAGGTCCCTTTGCCCAGCCGCCTCGCGCGTCACTTTAGCGTTTAGGAGAGACGTTAGCCAATCACAAAAAAAGGCTGTCCTGCGGAGAAGCGCGCCCCTCCAGACTGATTTTCATCCTATGTTGTCTGCTGAAGCTGCAGTCTTCCCCGTTGTCGTTCACCAGTTGGGTGCTGTCCAAACAGGAATGCTAGACCAGGGGTCTCCAACCTTAGCAACTTTAAGCTGGCTGAGGGATTCTGGGAGTTGAAGTCCACAAGTCTTAAAGTTGCCAAGGTTGGAGACCCCTGGACTAGACCGTTGATTTTGGGGAGTTGTAGTCTGAACACATCTAGAGGAATTCGGCTCTAATGTTCACCTAACACGATCTGTTCTCCTCTTTTCCTTTTATTGAGCAAGAGGTTTTACAACTACAAATGTCTACAATTCTTTTGTTAACTTTCTGTCATCCTGTATTGTTTGGAAGTGAATCTCACAGGCAGAATGTCAAATAATAATCCCAGCCTGTCTTACTTTGGGTTTCAGAAAATATGCAAAAAGTCATTGCAGAGATGACTATCATCAGAAAGTAAATATTGTTAAGATCTCCAGGATAAGAATCTCATTTGTATAGGAATCCAACTGAAAACACACAAGTAGACTAGACTAGTATCCTTACTGTGCAAAATTTTAAACTTAGAACTTGTGAAGCAAAACAGTTTGGGCTTGTTCAGTTTTCCAGGAGAGGCCTAACTTGAAAGGAGCTTTATTTCATTGCCCTCTAAATATGTGGACTTTGATCTGCAGAATTGTCTGCAGTAACTACTAGCTTGGGACCTGACGTGTACATATTTGGAGAACTGATTAGGGGAGGTGATTTTAGAGGACAATATCGACGTTTTCCTCTCATCTTTTCACTGTATCTCTTCCTTGCTGGTTCTTTCTTTCAGATTATAAGTATTGATCTATTTTGGAAGTTGCACTCCAATAGCAGGTCAGGATAATCTGTCACAGGGAGATTCATCTTACGGCAGTGCCTGATAGTCAATTAAAGAAATGTGGGAATTTGAATTTGAAAATGACCACAATGCCTCATATTTCTTCATTTTCTTTCAGTTAGTATTCTCCCAAGGCAAAGAATGCCTTAGTCACAATCACAAGGATGGCAAACTGGTGGCTTGCAGGACAGATGTGTAATATGCAGGCCACGCCTACCTCAGCTCCGCAAAGGCAAAAATGTCATGATACCTCATGTGATGTCATGTGACGTGATTGAGTTTGACATCTGTGTCTTAGTGGCTACATATACTGTATATATTAACATCCATATAATAGTTTTTCAAAACTGGTTTTAAAATGGTCTCTTAGGTCAATTTTTCAGAAAAATTGACATCTTACCATGGATTGCCATTCAATCCATATCTGCGGCCCTTGGGAATCAAAGAACATGTAGCAACTTTGGATACCTTGAGCGAATATTATAAACATAACTATTAATTCTAAACTCAAAATATAACATAATTTTCATAAGATCTTTTATTTTTTTTATTTTTTCATAGCTATTTTTTATTTTACAAGATACTATATATATTTTTCTGATTGACACGGATATTGCTGATTTGCTTCAGTGTAAGCATGTAGCTCTGCTTTGGGGCTCAGAGGAGATACTTCGTGTAATCAATGTCAACTTTGCACGATGTTCAGTAGTATGCAACATCATTATTCAAAGCATTTATTTCTGCCATTCCACATAGCTTATATAAAGACCACACAGCTTGTTCTAATGCCCTACAGGCTTTTCCTAAAGCATTCACCAAATGTTATTGAGCTACAATTTTCAGCATTTCTTATTACTAAGGAATGCTGAAAATTATAGATCAACACTTCAGAGACACATTTTCCCACCTTGGTTAAAAAAAATGCCATTGTTATGAATGTAAATGCTGCAAGCTCAGGCATTCAACAGTTTATCAGACTGTACATCAAACAGACTCAGACAGACAGTTCACATTCAAAAGGGAAGATGTTTTCCAGATAATCCAGCCCCTTACTCTGCTAGATATAACAAAAGGTTTGATTCTTTTAACAATGTGAACAGAGATTACTGTCATGAAAATATAAAAGTGAGGGCTTTAACATTGCTCCACTGTACCCTTTGATTAAATCTTAAAAGTTTCCAAAAAGATAGGAATACAGGAAAATTGAAACATGAAAAAAGATGCTTCAGGGGAGGCTGATCTGAAGAAATGTCAAAAATTCTAGTTAGGAATATAAATTTAATTCTTCTGTATTGTGGCTTTTAATGTCACCCCCCCCCCCCTCATTTATATAATGTATAGAATTGGATGCTTTTATCTTTGCATATATCCAGCAACCATGTTTTTTTATGAAGATGCACGGAATTTTATGATTACTATAATACATTCAAATTTGGAAACTTGCAGACATAGTTCAGATCTAAACATTTCATACTTTCATTCAACTGTATTTAAAATTAGATTGAATATTATATTGCTAGTGTTCACTAATCTATAGAAATCCTATTCTATAAGATTTTAGTTTTTTTCCAGTCAAGTTAAAAAAGATCCTGAAAATGACACCAATACATAAAAAAGGAAGACAACTACATATGAACAAAAATACTTAGTTATTATATTTATTATACAATTAATATAATGGTAATGAATTTACAATGTTTAAATAATCTGAAACCCTCATACGGCTAAGAGTCAGGCTGCATACAAATTTAATTAATAATAACATTCCTTGAACCAAACTTCTTTACAAAATATTCAAGTATCCAAAGCAAATTTTGAATATTTTGCTTTGAAATAAATAATCCACTTGTTCCACCCCGAATGATTCTTTCAATCGACAAATTATTATTTAATCAGATTAATAACAAAATACAGGTCCATTTGTGCATCTGCTTTACATGTAATTTTGATATTAAATTTTTTAGTCCATTTAAGTTCAGAAAATAGAAGGGCACGTTTGTCAAACTGTGTATATGCCATATTTATAAAACACTTTTCCACTTGAAGTTAGGAGAATTTTCATATACTGTAAGAGAAAGAAGGATCTATATTATCTTTATATAATAACCTAATCAGCAAAACTTTAATGCCCTAACCAGTAATATCTAAAATATTTACCTTAAAACACCTAAATGCATATACATATTAACTACATTTTAAAAAGATACATTAAAAACCATGAAATCCATGTCGTTATTTTTCATATTTTCTGATGATATCCCGAGAAGCATTTTGTCAGATAGTTTTACATTCTTTTAATCACCCTTGTAATATTTTTAACACAAATTATGTTTTTCATCAAATAAGAATGTATAAAGACCATAGGTTAATAACCTTAACCACAATTGGGACTGGCAAATTCCATTACTAAGTGACACAGTTGTTAAATGAGACTTCATGTGAAAGTGCCTTGCTGGCTCCTCCATTGATTCTGCTTATTGGTAGCCGGTTATTAAATGTGCAAATTAAATAAACAAGCAAAAATAAATGATGGTCATGTGACTGTGGGATACTATGAGCTCATTGTTGACAGCCCAAATCCTGACCATGTGACTATGGGAAAGCTGTGATGATTGTAAGTGTGAGTAATTTTATCTTCCTTTCATCATTTGGTATCCAACAATGTAATTGTTATATATAAACAGTGAAGTTACTTACCAACTTTCCCTTCTTTTTTTAGCTTCTTCAGGTGATGTTTGAGATTGATTTCTGCAGCTGGATGCAAATGGACAGGTGTGTCCTGAAATAAAGTGTTCAAATGATGCATATTAATGGAACTTCATTTTTTTAAGAAAATAAAACAACAAGAACTTTTCAAATTTGGTACGGATTAAAACACTTTTCAGGGTTTTGATGCAAATTGTCCCATCAATTGTCCAATCAATTCCTATTTTAATGGGGGGAAGGGGGAATTGCTTAGCTCTATCATGAATCTTATAATTTTCTCTGAATAACTTTACTTTTTTCAGGTCCTGTCATGAATTTTTATTAGATATTTATCCTCAACTTCAGAGTGCAGAGGAAAATTCATAAAATTTTGTTTTAGATTTCTGAGTGGTAATTATTCTCTTCATACAATCTTACAATTAAACCATGAAAACAAGAAAACAACACAAATAAAAAAGGAATGAAGTTGATAGAGATAATATACCAGATATAAACAAAGAAAAAAGAAAAGAAAAGGGGGCTTCAATTACATATTCCAAAGTCCTGGGCAACAAGCCAGGTCTTCAAGGCTCTTTGGAACACCCATAAAATGGTGGTGGTGGTGCAATTCATATTTCAGGGGAGCCATATTCCAGAGAGCAACTGTTGTTCAGAGAAGGCATTTCTCTTATTTTGAGTGATGCAAAAAAGGTAATATGAATATAGGGAACTCACTGATTCAGGGACATTCTGTAGAACTTAAGAACATTCCATGCCCCCCAAGTGGCCCCCCCCCATGTCCCTGGTGAACCTTCTAGACCACGGTGAAATGGGTTAATTTGCTTAGTATTGGAATAATTTCTTCAAGCTGGAAGCAATTTGAGGCATTCGGTACTTTTGTTTTCTACTTTAGTTGCAGTTATTAAAAAAGAAAGGAAACTGGTGTTTTTGGAAAAAAAACGTGTCTGATTTTACAAAAAAACGTGTCTGATTTTGGAAGAGCTGTTTAAAGTCTGAACAAAGCATGATAATCTTAATATTTTTGTATTAATACTATGCACTTTCCGGCATACAACCAGGTGCAATATACAATATGGTTTCTGAAAGCAGTACACATACATGGTGTTCCTTAGATAAATGTTGTTCTTGCTATAAATCATGAATTTCTTTTATACTACATTGCTTTCTGCATAACTGAAAACTATTTCTAACCCAAACCAGATGTCATCTGTACCTTGTAAACAATTTTCACAAGTTCCTCTGCTGTGAGAGATTTCCCAGCATTCTCATCCAGGATGTGTAGGATTTGCTGCTCACGTGCATTTCTGTGTAAAATATATTCTTGAATTTTAGCTCTTGCTTCTTTTATTACTGGTCCATGTCCTATAAACACCACAACAAATGTTTCTTTAACACAAATTTCTGGGAGAACTTACGAATTAATAGTGTGTACAGGATACTTTTTGAGAAGAGATAATTTAAAGTGTTCATATTACAGAGTTAACACAGGACAGGTCTACAGCTTCTAATTTTGTAATGTGTTTATTTGTTGCACCTTTCCTCTGGAGTGGGACCCTTAGAGATCCAGATGTCCTCCCCGACATTCAGAAAGCTATTAAATGCTTTCTTCAATTTATACCTTGATATTATAGTCACAGCTTTGCTTCCAGGCTTTGAAGGAGGGTGAAGGATGAGCCCTGCTAGATTTTTCCCCTTGATTCTATGTAGTTTTTGAGCTACTCAAGAGACTTCTTTTTTTAAAAAAAGTTTTAAATTATAAGCCACCCAAACTTGTTAGGAATCAGGTGGCCTATATATTATGTAAACAAAGAAATGGGAATTATGATTAAATATGCTGGATGGGATGAAAAAAGTACAAGTTCAAGTCTTTGATCAACTATGGAGCCAATTTAGTTATCCTACGGCTTTTGTTCCATCTACATTTCATAATAAGAGACATGGGAATAGAACAGAGAACTTCTACTCCTTCCAGACCACCTTGCATTCCCACAGAATAATACAGGATAAATAAATACAGTAAGTGGATGAATGATAAAATGAATTCAATTTGTTACATCCCTAAACATTATTTTAAAGCAGGTTTGAAGGTTTGAATCTGACAAGACTTTTGGCTTAAGTATTATTGTGATATTCCATTTCCATGATTTCTTTCATAGATTAGCTTGGAGGTGCTGAATTCTGAATACTGTTTTCCTTATAGGGAATGGGGGGGGGGGGAGACAGAGAGAATAAGTGTAAAGAACAGACATTTTAGCAGCCAAAGGACTTTTCACAAGTCAAGTAAAATATACTTATAGCAAAGAGCTAATACAATTAATGTCAAATGTATAACTTACCTGGGTATATTAAATCAGCTTTGATTCCCAGAAGTTTTTCCAATGACTTCATGTAGTCATAAAGGTCTTCAAACACAGTTGTTCCTTCTCCTAAAATACAATCACCAGAAAATATTGCATTTTCTTCTAGCAAATGTAAAGCCATGTGGTCATCAGTATGCCCTGGCGTATATAATACCCTGCAAAGTGACAGAAAAGTTAAATATGTTTATAATATTCAAGTCATAAATTGAAGAAAGTTCTTACAGTGGTAAATGAACATACATTAAAAAAGCTCAGATCCAAAATGGAAATGAATGATCCTTATACTGTGTGGAAGCAGAGTTATGAGCAAATTTTTCTTTGTAAAATTATTTTTAAAATAAGAACAAGCTTTAACTACCTATAGCTTAAGATAAATTTCCTAAATAAACCAAAGGCCTCACAAGCCAGATAAAGTCATTTAAAAAAAAATCAACCAGGAATAATTGTATGCAAATTGCTATCTACCAAAAGCACAGAAACTTGTGTAGCCCTATGATGTATACAGGAAATCCTTGACTTACAACAGTTCCTTTAGTAATTGTTCAAAGTTACATCAGCACTGAAAAATGTGACTTATGACCAGTTGTGGGATTCAAATAATTTAACAACCAGTTCTCTGCCCTAATGACCGGCTGGGTGAGCATGGCCAAGGGGCGTGACAGCACTCAGCCTCCTGCAGCACTCTGTCAAAACAGGGCACAGGGGTTAATTACAAAATGTGGACTTTGCTTTGTGACATCCAAATCCAGTGACCAAGGGGTGTGAAGTGCACAGAAAATACACTTTTGTTTGGTTATGAAGAAACACCACAATTCCATCCCATTCCAGAGCCATCATAATGCAAAATCCTCACTTCCACCCCATTCCAGAACAACCACCATTCACTCACTAACCTGCTTTCCAACTCCGTTCTCCTGTGTTCAGGGCAACAAAAGAAGACCATGTGACTACCAGTTTAAAAAAGGTTCAGTCAAGCCTTCCAACTTCTGGGGCAAAAAAAGATCTTGCAAAGTTGGAAGCTCATCTGTTTCCTAAAAGGAAGCCACCATTGTCTGAAGACACTTCTGTGGTCATGGAATGTTGCTACTTCCTACCGAAGTAGTACCTATTTATCTACTTACATTTGCATGTTTTCGAACAGCTAGATGGGCAGAAGCTGGGGCAGATAATGGGACCTCACCCATTCGTATGGTGCTCGGATCTCAAACCTGGGCTGTCAGCTTTCCAGCTGACAGGCTCATATTCTTTATCTGCTGAGCCTATTCATTAAGGCTAGGCAAAACATATAAGCTATCTTAAACAAATCTCACAAGCCTTTTTAGTTTTAAAAGGATAAAATCTGCAAATGAACTGAAAAAAATCTTGTACATGAAAAACTTGCAAACAACATCAATATGAAATGTTAACATTTACCTGAGAGAAGCTCCCTCTGTATTTAAAACATCTCCATCTCTTAAATACACATACTTCTTCTTTCCTTCTATTACTTCTTCTTGATGTGGGTTACGTGGAAGCTTACTTATGCAATACTCATAACCTAATTTAAAAATTAAACAATCTGTATCATACCAGAATTTAGTCAGAAATTCATATACCCCCTTTAAAAAACATTCAATTTCATTGAGGGCCATATCAGGGCTGTGGTTGATCTCGGTGGGGGTGGGGCAGATGGGCATGGCCAAACGGGTGGGCATGGCCAGCCTGACGTCAGTCACTGGGCATGACCAGCTGGGTGGGCGTGACCAGCTTGAAGCTACTCCCCAAACTGCTGGCATGTTTCCTCTTTGCATTGGGTAGACTGGGTTGAAGCAACCCGGCCCGGCCCTTACATTTTCTAGGATGGCCCCGCGGGCTGGACCTGACCATAGTGTGGGCCACATCCGGCCCACGGGCCTTGTGTTTGACACCCCGGATCTATATTAATTCTGGACTGAGACACTTATGACCATCTTTGATCTTAAACAGACTTATAAAATAGCTGTAAATGATTTCAAATTTTGGAAACTGGTAATGTGTTTCAAAGGTTGCCTTAGGTTTATACTGTTTTATTTTTAATGAAAGTTTTTGTTTATAAAATGGATTTATGTTATTATACAAGTGCAGATCAATCAAGGCAGAACATATGTTCTATGCTATGCCTGCTGCCTGTTATTCAAATAATTTTGACAACAGCCTCCAGATTACCACTACAACCTACTTAGCAAGTCCTTTGTATTAGTGGTTTGTTTGCAATAGCAAATTCTACAACTTTACCTGGTTCTAATGAAACAACTGTTAAAATACATACTAGCAAACATTCATGCAAACATTAAAACAATCAATGCTCTTTATTTTGCAAAGAAGCTCAAGTTCCTGTTCTCATGAAGAGATTTGAAAAGACCTATTTCTGCAGAATTTTAGAGTAGCTTAATTTGAACAAGGTCAATACAGTAGGAAAGAACACTCATTGCTGGTGTTTGGGAGATCATTCAGCTCACCCTAGTAATAATGTAATTTAGGTTGATGCTTCACTTTTAAAGAAAAATAGAACATACAAATACTTGGAGATAAAAGCCCTTTTGTTTAAAATAAAAAGAACAGTGAAAGTTTTAACTTATATTTATTTTAACCAATTTTTATATACCTGCTTGCAAAGTATTTTAAAGTATTTTAAAAACTACAGAAAATACTTACTGGCTGGAATATTTTCACAAATCTTGGATATACCTCCAGTGTGATCATGATGCCAATGAGTTATTAAAATTTCCTGTATGGAAATGTTGAATTCATGGAGCGTTTGTTTCAAACAGCTTATATATTCAGGGATACATGGCTCTCCAGTATCTATTAGGATCCTCCTATAATAAAAACAGATTAAACCAAGAAAAGGCTAATTAATAAAAAATGTTTACAACCTGTTTGTTCCAGGTTAAAAAAGTGTAATGTGACATGAAAAGAAATATAAGAACAATTAATCAATGGAATAGCTTGCCTCCTGGAGTTGTGAATGCTCCGTTACTGAAAGTTTTCAAAAATTGCTTGGACAACCATTTGCCTGAGATGGTATAAGATTCCTGCTCTGAGCAGGGGGATGGACTAGAAGACCTCCAAGGTCCTTTCCAGCCCCATGATTCTACATTCTATTTCTATATCCCATTCCTTTTGTGTAATTTGGAATCCTAAAGAAAATTATATGAGATGTAAATCAATACATCAAACATACCTTTTCAGTTGTCACTGAGCAGCTTACATACATTATTTTATATTAAAAAATTACAATAGCCACCCAGAGTCACTTGATAGTGAGATGGGCAGTATATAAATTTAATAAATAAAATTCCGTATCAGGAAAAACAAGTACACTCATTCAAATACCCAAAAGAAAAATATTTAAGGACACATCTGCAAGAGCAAGATTGCGTTGCCTTTCTAAACCCAGTAAAGCTGGAACCATACACATCTCCAGTGGGAAGCGGTTGCAAAATAGTCTCTCTTAATTTCATAATATTGTTCATCCGCAGCTAACAAGCAGTGGTGGGATTCAGCCAGCTCGCACCAGTTCGGGAGAACCGGTTCTTATCTTTCTGAACAGTCTGGTGAACTGGTTGTTGGAAGAAATCATTAGGGCAGAGAACCGGTTGTTAAATTATTGGAATCCCACCACTATTAACAAGCCTATGAGAATAGAGATAATGGTGAAAAAAGTCCACTGGAACAGAAATCCAATCAGGTGAACAAAAGAAACAATAAAATGGATCAAATAAATAAAATAAAATGGATTATAATAAAATGGATCAAATACAATCCAATAAAAAGGTAATAAAGGGAAATTTGTCCACAGAAGGAGAAAATATTGCCAAGAGCAAATTAAAAAGTGACAAGTTGAACAAGATTCCAAGTAAGACTTATATTGCCTAAGAGGACAACTAAACTGTAATAGTCAAGATTCAAGATAGGGCTCTGTAGAAGAACCAGGCATGTGCTCTAGATAGCAATCATCCCCAGATCCCTCTAACTGCATAATGAGGTCTAGTTGCTTTAAAATAGCATATTGCCTGAGACTGCCTTTATTTCATTTATCCTGTAGTAAAGGAAGCCTAAATTTAGCTAAAGTTATTCCAGTTTTAAAGTATCCCTCAGACACAATTTTCACCATGAATATGACTTAGTATGCTTCATTGACTTTTTGATTGATCAGGGAAGGAATCAGTCTTTCTCCAGTCACTTGGGTTGGTATGGATTCACTCCTTTCCCTTGGTCCCTGGACAATGGAGCTGCTACAGACACATGACCAACATTTGCCTGTACAGTGATTGACTGGCTCTTTCTAAAGAATTTGTCAGTGTTACACAAGCTCCTTATTTGCACAGGCTTACTAGTACATTTAGGTTTAGAGAGATCTCTTTTTGGCTATACAGAATGCTGTTTTGAATTGAGACAAGAATGATTGAGGCAGGTGGGTGTGGCTAGCTCCTTCCTGTGAGCCATTACTGTTTCTACAGTGTTTCTGCAAGCAAGAAAACCGGACATTTTTTAAAAAACTGGTTTTGATGTTTAGGGGAATGATGCCATTTTACTTATTTCTACAGCACCACACCTATTACATAGGTTACTTCTGGATATTACAGTCCAGGCCTCCTTCCTGCCAGCACAATTGCTTGCAGCATTATAGGTAATCCTTGACTTATGACATTGGTGGTATTCTAATGGTTTGGCCCAGTTCGGCTGAACCGGTAGCTTCTAGGATAATCTGTGAGCGAACTGGTTCACTCTGATGATCAGTTGCTGGGCCCGCCCGCCTGCCCGGACTCTATTCTGACCTTTATTTCCTGGTTTTGAAGCTCAGCTGCTTTGCGCGGCACAGCAGATTGCCACGCGTCAACTGTTGAGGACACAGGGAGAGTGCAGGATTGCAGAAAAAGGTCAGTAGCAAACCTTCTGCATGCGTGCAAAGCGCGCCCACCAAGCTACACCCACAGAACTGGTGGTAAAAAAATTTGAATCCCATAACTTACAACCACATATTTCTACTGCTAAATGAGACAGTGAATTTTGCCTCATTTTACAACCTTTCTTGACAGAGTTGTTAAGTGAATCACTGCAGTGGTTAAGTCAATAAAAGTTGTTAAATGAACCCTGCTTCCTCATTGACTTTGCCTGTCAGAAGACTGCAAAAAGGTATCAGGTGACCCTGGGACACCGTAACCATCATAAGGGTATAAACCAGTTGCCAAGCATCCAAATTTTGATCACATGACCACAGGGATGGGGCAATGGTTATAAGAGTGAAAAAGTCACAAGCCACCTTTTCCAGTGCTGACTTAAAAGGGCCATTAAACAAATAGTTTAATGGTTTAAGTTGAAGACTACCTATAATTTATGATGCAGCTTGCAAATTATTAATTATTCCTTCTAGTTTTATTTCACTCCAATGAATTTGAAATAGGCCCTGGAGGAGGATTGTGGAGTGATGTGCCCTATGCACTTCATAGTCTCTTCTCCCCATCTCTGAACAATCACTTCGGATATTTCTAAACATGGCCTTATATCTGCAATCTGTGAACCATAGTATTTTCTGGCCCTTTCAAAAGAGCGTGAGGTTCATATTCAGAAACAGCCCAGACTTCTCATAGATGTGCAGCTCTTCCATGCCTGCAATCTTAGTTGAGCAACTTGACTAAAAGAATCTGTTGCACTTGTTCAGCCAGTCCCCACGAAGCATTAAGGAGACTCATTAGTGTTGTTTTCCCTAAGGCAGTGCTGCTTTTTTAAAAAAAAGTTATTAAATTTCAAACTCAAATATTAAAACACCAACTAACATAAAAGGAAAAAGGAAATAGCAAAACAAATTAAAAGTGAAAAAAATATACAAACATGTTTATAACAAAGCTGACCCAGACAACTGCAGCTCACGATTTTTAACTTGTCAAGTTTGAGACACGTTACTCTATGGAAAGGGAAAAGTAGAGTGTTTTTCTTAACTTGTCCCGCACACAGCACCACTTAGAGGCTTTGTCAATGAAGCGGAGTAGATGTTTATAAATGTCCATGAGCTTATTGACTGGACTGGAGAACAGCACTTTAAATACAGCAATTGGAAAAGTCCCAAGTCTGCACTTCTAGGGAATAAGACCCTGGAGTTAAATAGGATTTCTGAATAGGGAAGATCGCATTGCAACATTTCCTAGGTTGCACTAATGGCTTTTACATTTATTTATTTACTAGATGTGTGAGCCGTCCATCTGATCCAAAGGCGACTTTAATCACATGCATAGAATAATCCAGTTAGCAATGTCTCCTCCGTCCCCCAATGTTTATGGAGTTTTTTTCAGGGGTGGGGTGGAGATACAAAAAAACAAAACAAAGCCCCAATGTTTTTGCTATCTCATCTAGGGCCCCGCCTTCTCCCGTCACCACGCCATCGCAGTACTACCTGTACAATAAAGAGGAAACGTATGAATTAATAGTCAGAGCAGCGCGTGAAAAGCAAGGAGGTCGAAATAGGAATTCCCGGGCAGCCCTCGAGCCTCGCTTTGCTTAAAAACGGAACGAAAGACTCACGCCAAGGGAGCGCGTTACCCACCGGAGCCCCGAGCCAACAGATCCGAAGGAGGCTGCTTCCCACCTACCTGGGCCCGGTTCCCACCAAGTAGGTGTTGGTCCCCTGGAGCGTCATAGGCCCGGGATTACAGCCCAGGACGCGGATGACCCGCGCCGACAGCTTCTCCACTTTGGGCAGCACGGACAACATCTTTGCCGCCAGCCTGAAAAGACGCGCAGAGAGAGAGAGAGAGAGAGAGAGCAAAAAATATAGAGATAGGAAAAAGTGTAGAGTGACAACTTTGGCTTTGGGGCTTTCTTTTAACGCATCACTGCGTTTCCCTCCCCCTCTTCTCCTTGGTTAGAATATTTTGGGGCACGAAGCAATCCAGACTTTTTAAAGAGCGTGATTCCCAGGTTGACACATTCTGCTGAACTATGCAAGGAAACGAACGATTGCTCCGAATGTGGAATGTAAAGAGTTAACTCGATACTTCCTTTAAAAGCCAAGTGGGCAGAACTTGGATAGAAATAAGGAGTCCCGGCGACGCGCCTCACGGACCAGCTGGGGAGAGAACGGGGTAGGCTGAGATGCAGATCCAATATGTAGAAGAGAGAAAAGGGAAGCGCTTTTAGCAATCATTCTGTAACTATAAGAGAAGTTTGTTTCTAAAATATGCATTTGTCAGAAACAATAAATTTCATTAATAATTACATTATTCTGTAATATTGTTGAATAAAAATTTAATTGTAGTCACCTGGTCTGGCTAAATACATGTTTCCCATAAACTACTATGCAAACGTAGTGAATCACTTTATAGTTTACATCTGTGTGGTTTGCCTGGTAAAATAGAATGGTTTGCTTCATTACCTTCTCTTGTGCCATATGAAATGATGCCTTCAGTATTGTTAGTAAATTGATGCCCAGCATCTTCCTATGTTGCTGTTGCCCAATAAAGGTGCCAGTTTGGCTTAGATGGGCAGCTGGGATGACTTTCACACCTTAGGTGACCCTGTGAAATTATATGCCCCCAATATTGTTCACTTATTTCTTGCAGCATAGACAGACAAAGAGCCATTATGAGGCAACCTAGCATTTGACAAGGAGCTGCTAGCTAAAATTGGAACTACTAAATCTGAGCTGCAAAAGCTACACATTCCTCTTGAAGTCAAAGAATTAAATTAACTGAATTCCAAAACATCTGGATGGTATTCCAGTTACCCATTCCAGATGGAGATGGTTCATTTCCATTTTTGATAGCCCTAAAAATATTGGAGTTTGTGGAGAATTTCATGGAAGGCACTCCTTTGCCCTGGTAATTTCCATGTGGGTGGATATTTTGGGTATGGTCCAGATGTTTTATAAATAAGTTGCCATGAGATCCCATTTAAATCACCATAATCAATAAAGCCTTTAACACTTCAACAAGTTCCAGGTTCTTTACTGTTATTAATCTTTATTGCTTAGGATAGAGATTGGGAAAATGTCTAATCTCTGCAGCTGTTAAGGAATTTCAGTTTGCAAAAGATCCTTAATTGGCAGTGATAGAGGATACTGAGAGATGCAGTTCAGTGAAGTTTTCAAGGGTCTCTCATAGTTTATGGTGAGGATAAACTCACTGAGAAAAAAGCTGAAATATGTATGCTTCTTGGGTTCAAGTTCATTTCTAAATAACTGCAAAAATGAATAAAAAAAATGTTTTAGCCATGCAAATGTTATACCAGGATACTGAAATAGCATGTCCTTGAGAATACATGTTGTCTGTAGATGGCAGTAACAGCACTGAAGATTACAAAATGTCATAATAAAATTTGTGGAGAAAGTTAAATTGCAAAATGCCCCCAATATTCTTCTGCAAAGCAGATGATCAAGTTTTCAGGGTATACTTAAGTATATAGTATTGTGTGTAGTTAAGTTTATATTATTCTTTCTGAGTTTAATAGTAGTGAAACATCATTAATTGTTTAATAAATTTCCCTTGGGTTTGTTTAAAAATCACTTTGCCAGAAAGGAAGAGAATACCACACTAAATCCTTAAAATGGATGGCATGGATCTGTCTTCTTGATTAGGTAGAACAATCAATCAGTGGGATAATTTGCTTCCAGAAGTTGTGGGTGTTCTGCATTGGAGATTTTCAAGAAGAGATTGGACAACCATCTATCTGAAATAGTATAGAGTTTCCTGCCTGAGCAGGGGGTTGGACTAGAAGACCTCCAAGGTCCCTTCCAACTTTGTTATTCAATTCGGTATATACGACCAGGTAAATATACCTGTACATTTGACAGATGACAGGTATGGAATGTTCTGCACATGTAACTGGTCAGCAGAGTATTTCTGAACATATCATTGTTTGAAATAATAGTAAATCCATGTTAAGCAGTAATTTGATGATAGGTCATGAGGTTGTAGAAAGGATAATAAGTATTAGAGGTGCCTTCTTTCATGTCACTTTGTGCCCCATGCCTTGACTTATCAACTTGGCTAACAGCTGTGGAAGGGACAGAAAGAGAGATGTGAATTGCAAAGATGAAAGCTCTGTCCTTTAATGGCAGGCAAAATGTATTAATTATATGACTCCTATGCTACCTTCTACACTGTACCATATTTAACCAACTGACTCTAAGCCATATATAGCCACAAATATAAAAATCAGCTTATACAAATAATATATAATATATAAATCTAACATATGAACATAGCAATATATGTTTCACTTAGTTTGGCTATATCATGTGGGGGAATTCACTGGAGAAAGCAATTATGTTCAGAAAAATTAGTGGTAAAAGGAAACCAAGTAATCAAAGAACATGGTGGCTGGACACTATAAAGCTGACATCAACCGGAATATATAGAAACTCAAAGAAATAATGTAATACCAGAAGACATGGTGAGACCTAGCCTATAGGATTGCCAATAGTCGGAAATGACTGAATGGATAACATCAGCAGCAGCAGCAATATACATTTATACTATATCAAATATATACATACTAAGAATAAGCTAATCCATCATTCAATATCTCGACAAATACATGTCTAGTGAAAAGTCTTCAAAGATCTTCTGAAATATCCAGGATTTAACTGTCTTTTGTATTGGAAAAGGGCTATTCTTGCTTTGGGTAGAAAACTATTCCATAAAAGGGAAGAGCCCAAGAAAAGTTCTTTGCTCCCTCTGGCTGAATGTGTGCATTGAACAGACAGGTTCTGGTCAGGAAAGACAGTCTTGAAGATAGCAGATTCCAAGTCATATAGGGATTTATGGTAAGAACCAACATATTAAAATACATTTGAAATCAAACTTGAAGTTAATGCAGCACCTGTAGCAGTGGGTATATTAAAAAATAAGATGTTCAGTTCATAAGCACACATGTGCATTCATATTTTGCACTAGCTGAAGTTTCTGACTTCAAGGTAAGCCACGTAGGGCACATTACAGTAATTCAAAAGAGTTCATAAATGCCCTTAACACATCTCATGCCAGGTAAGAATTACCCATAGAAGCAAGAAAAAGATCCTCTTTATGGGCTTCTATTTTCTCTTTTAGCATGACCTGTGCATCCATCCAGGAGGAGGCCTAGATTAGACCCCTGCTCTTTAGGGGAACCTTGTTCCCTCACAGAGGGAAAATTGTATTTCACAAAAAGCAAGCTTCTGAAACAAAAGTCTCTTTGTCTTGCTTGAGTTGAGTCTGAGCCTATTTTTTTTTCTATCCATCTTCATGCATTGAGTCAAAACTTCCACCTCATCTCCCACAATGGAAAGTCTAATAACCACTATTGGGAATTGCCTGCTAAAGAAGAGTCAGAAGAAATCCTAACATGTGATCCTGAAGGATGCCATTCTTACTGGACTGAGAGGTCCAGTAAGGTAAGAATGTTTGTACTCTCCATATCCAAACCCCACTATAGGACAGCACAATATGGCTTCTGTCCCAAACTGGTGTCTAAATCCTGATGATCAAATATTACATTTATTTATCTGTTTAATTGATTTGTGAGATGCTCATTTTGCCTAGAGACGACTAGATAGTCTGGTTCTCTACTCTACTCTAGATAATCTGCTTCTTCCTTAGACCTATGTAATTGTTGTCTTATCACCTTTTCCACCACATACTTATATAGAAGATGTGCAATATAAGATAATAGTTTACTAAGATTCCTGGATTGACTTCAAAGGAGGAGGCAAGCCAGAGTGTCTTTCAAGGTAGCTGCTAAGCTAACTCCTGCTTTTTGCAAATTACTAATTGCTACCTGATCAGCATTACCTGATCTGTCCCTGGTATCTTAACCAGACAGGTGGGGCACAGATGAACCTTCCAGGTGGCCAGGCAGGATCAGAATGAATCTTTTTTGGCATGTATAGACTTACAGAAACTTCTATAAAACATTGCAAGGTGCTACCCCTCCAAATCTATTGGATTTTGGCTCTCTGGCTTTCAGTCTGGAGCTATAGGTTTACTTTACTTTATTGTCATTGCACCTCGTACAACGAAATCAAACACCATCATCAGTGCACATCCATGACCATGAAAATAAACACAAACACACATCCTTCACACTTCACACATTGAATTGAAAACCCCCAACACCGCACCAACACTGCATTATATAGCAGAATTCAACAGAGCTACTGCCCTGGGATAGAAGCTGTTTTTCAGCCTATTTGTCCTTGTTTTTATTATTCTGTACCATCTGCCAGACGGTAATAGTTAAAAAAAGGGTGCCCAGGATGAAATAGATCTTTGAGAATATTTTGAACTTTCTTAAGGCAGCAGGAGCCACAAAGCTCTTCCAATGAGGGGAGAGGGCAACCAATGAGCTTCTGGGCAATGACGTTAACCCTCTGGAGTGCTTTCCTATCTGCCATTGTGCAATTGGCAAACCATATAGAGGTGCAGTAAGTTAAGATACTCTCTATGGTGCAGCAATAGAAGGTCACCAGCAGTTTTTCATTTAGTTGTTATTTTCTGAGAAGTCTCAGAAAGTATGATTTTATCTATGAAATGACCAGCATGCTGATCATAAAGAAATTACACTATTTTGTTTTATCCTTTACTGATAATTCTGAATAGTGCTGCTGCCTGGCATTTCACAGATGGAAGAAGGACAGAAAGTTGTTAGTAGACCTGAGTTCAGAACCATGTTTGATTATATCCTTCCAGTGATGTTCCAAAGATTTTATCATTTGCAACTCCTCACTATACCGATGAATGAACCTTCCTTCATTATCAGATAAGGACAGAAATCTCAGGAACAATCCCATCTAATATCTTTATTGCTTGCTGTATTCCAGAGCTTCAGT